ACAACATTTTTTTTTTTTTTTTTTTTTTTTTTCGGTCTCTTCCTTTCGGTTCGAGTCTTTTTGTGTTTTTCTTGAGTTTCATCTCTAGCCTACCCCGACTTGCTTGGGACTAAAGGCTATGTTGTTGTTCTTGTTGTTGTTGTACTTCGGAATAACAATAGATCAGATCTCTGTTAGATAATAAGATGATCACATTACACTTCTGAATGCACTAATTGATCATATGTTGGAAGGAATTAACCAATTTCGAGACTACAAAGACTATCTATTTTTTACCTGTACGAATAATTGTTTTATGTTCTTCTCACTGTAGTTTTATTTTTCATTTTGTGCATTGTAATTTTTAATTTGTAATGAAATTTATTTCTTCGTTTTTATAATGTGTATGAGTTATAACTTTGTAATTCATGTGTTTACATAAATTTCAAATTGAATTTAAAATATTAGTGTGGTTAAATTTGTTAAATTATAAAATATGTGACTAGTATTTAAATATTGTAAAAATAGATGTAAAAAAAAAAATTTGAGAATTGCATTGTGTGTACCAAACTCATGTGGGCTGTGGCCTACTAGCCCGGTTTGACCCTACTAAGCCCAACTAAACTGGGTTAGGGCCTAAACTAATCTGAACTACCATTGTCCTTGGTCCAGAGCAACATTTTCATACTCAAAAGTGACTTGGGCCTAAGAAGAGGCCCATGTGGTCCATTTGAATTTATTCAGTCAAATTTTATAGATTAATTTTTGTACTATATTGAAATTTGCCAAAAGAATTGAACATCTCCCCAGCGCAACTGCACGAGCCGCGATGCACCTGATCCAAGCCTCAATTCTAAAACCCAGCACATTTGTTCAGCTGCCTTTTCCTAAAACCCTTTAAACCCTAAACCCTGCTACTTTCATTTCTCTCCCATGGCTCCGGTGGCTAGTAAAGCCAATCCTCTGCTCTCGAGCATACCATGGCGCCGAATCCAATTACGCACAATTTGCGGCGGTCACGTTTTCCACTCGCCGCCTTCGTCGCTCGCGCACTCATCCACCGCCGAATGCGAAGGTGCAGCTGCCGGGAAGAAAATTCTGGAGACGTTCCTGGAAGAATTTGAAATTGGATCGCGGAAAATCACGATGGAAACTGGTAAAATAGCGCGATTTGCTAATGGCGCCGTTGTTTTGGGTATGGAGGAAACGAAAGTACTCTCCACAGTATCCTCAGCAAAGGGTGACGGCACTCGTGATTTCCTGCCTCTCACTGTAAGGCGTTTTCTGCATGAAAGAATGATTTACCATTGTAGAAGCTTTTCTGTGTTCGTTTTTATGATAAGGATGCTGCTCACTATTCTTTGAGGGTGTGAGAATTGGTTGAAATGATATTTTCAATGTTTGCTAACTTTGGATTTCATCATTTTGAATCTTACAAATTGTCTGCTGGCGTAAATGGAAGAGGGTTGTGACTTGTAGTTTTTAGCCTCTAACTATTATGATACTGGCGTGTTTGGATTTTATTTTTCATTGACATACATGTTTAGTTGAAATGCATTTTATGCTCAACAATTTATTCATTGCATTTGCTTTTGGTGAAATGGTTGAATTGTCTGTTCATGCTGCAGGTTTACTTCAATAACTAAGCTAGTGCTAATGCGTACTATAATTTTGGGGTTTATATTGCCGAGTACCTGTTTTGTTTCCATTTATAAATATTTGTGCATTTGTGTTTGATGAATAAAAAATGGGTCAGATCTCGATAACTTCGATAAGCTCTACTTGTATGTGGTTTGTATAGAGAGAATATAACAGCAATTTTCAGCTCAAGAATTTGAAATTTCATCATTCTGTGTTAAATTGATTACAGGTGTAATTATAGGCGAGTACGTACTTCTAGGACAGTCTCGTTTGTGCCTTTAGTTACTTAGGGTTGAACGCATCTTGGCTTTACTCTTTATCTATGATGAATAGGTTCTTTCTTGTTTTGTAAGGTTGATTATCAGGAGAAACAGTTCGCTCAGGGTGTTATTCCAAACACGTTTATGCGGAGAGAAGGTGCTCCGAAAGAACGTGAACTCTTGTGCGGTCGAATCATTGATCGACCTATAAGACCCCTTTTTCCAGCTGGATTTTACCATGAAGTCCAGGTATAGTACTGCTCCACATAGCTAAATCAACATATTATGTTTAATCTACTGTGCTGCTTTTTCTGAGCTCACTTCTTTTCTCAAAGATCATGGCGAGTGTTCTATCATCTGACGGGAAACAAGATCCTGATGTATTGGCCGCCAATGCTGCATCTGCTGCTTTAATGTTATCAGATATTCCATGGGGTGGCCCCATTGGAGTAATACGTATTGGGAGGATTTCTGGTCAATTTATTGTTAATCCCAGCATGGATGAGGTCTGTCAAGTTTTTTCTTGTTTCAATGAATGCCTGTTTCTGTTGTTCTCATCCCCTTCATGGAGTTATTAAGCTTCCTATAAAATTAATATGTAATGATTTCCCTATGCAGCTGTGATATTTAAATCGCCATCCCTTTTTTTACTTGGTCTTCTTTTGTGCAGAACCCGTGTAAATTCTGTGGCTCTCTACCAATCTTGTTCATTATTGAATTAAATTATATATATTTTTATTCTGGGGCTTATGCATTTTCTTCTGCATCTTACTTTAGTCCAATTCAAAAGGTCTTTGACCTTTCATGGGACTTGATTATAGTGTGATATATGCATTAAATATCATTTGTGAGTATGTTCATGTAACATCTCAATCCATTCCCATGAATGTCTTTCAGCTTGCTCTGAGTGATCTCAATTTGATTTATGCCTGCACAAGAGATAAAACTTTGATGATAGATGTCCAAGCACGTGAGATATCGGAAAAAGACTTAGAAGCAGCTCTAAGACTGGCTCATCCTGAGGTGTGTATCTGAGCTTTCTGTTTGATAATACGCAGTATTTCAGGATTCTTATCTTTGAATGCTTCAGGCAGTTAAATATCTTGAGCCCCAAATGAGGTTGGCAGCCAAAGCTGGTAAACAGAAAAATGAATACAAATTATCCATGGTGTCCGAGGGAACATATGAAAAAATTAGGAGCTTGGCAGAAGCTCCGATTGAAGCTGTGTTTACAGACCCCTCATATGGCAAGGTTCAACCCAACCACACAATACACTGATTGTTATGGTGATAATCATATTATCATGCGATTGCGATCATATTGGTATTTGTTGATTTTTTTTGCACTTGCAGTTTGAAAGGGGAGAAGCCTTGGATAATATTACACAGGATGTGAAGAAATTACTAGTGGAAGAGGATAACGAAGAAGGCCTTAAATTTCTATCAAAAACAATAGATAATGTGCGAAAAAAGGTAGTGGCATCAACCTATACTTTTTCTGTCTCCCACACTTCTCCTTATGTAGGGAAAGAAAGAAGCNAAAAAAACTCTTTTTGTAAATCTTCAAAATGTAATTTACTACATCTGTTTGTGTTATCTATATTCATACTTTTGAAGATGGTAACAGCCCCTAGTGAAGTTTACAGCTGATTATTTCGGTTTGAAATAATACCAGTGGTACTTGACAGATTGTATTTTATTTTCCTTCTCATTTCCTAGATTTGTTCTGCGTTTGACATCTTGTCAAGGTAGTGATATTAAGTTTTTCAACATTTCAGGTTGTTCGCAGAAGGATCATTGGTGAAGGACTTAGAGTTGATGGAAGACGTCTTGATGAAGTTAGGACACTCTATTGTGAAGCTGGTAATTTGCCTGTACTCCATGGTTCGTCAATCTTTAATCGTGGAGATACTCAGGTCAGTAACTTAACTTCCTAGGCATGATTAACGAATTCTAATTGTAGAATTTGATAAATTCAGAGTTTTCATATGTTGGACACCTTATTGTTGTTGTGGTATTAATTGTTTCTTTGTTAGCAACAGGTTCTTTGCACTGTGACACTCGGAGCACCTGGAGAA